GACAGAGTCCTCTCTTTGTCATAAATTACCACTGCAGAGGATTCTGGGGGCCCTAAGGAAGCTGTGGTAAGTTTGCTTTTTAGCTAGGTGTTGTTCCCTAGTGATTAAGAGGACGTGTTGGCTTCATATGCTCTTCTGAGGGAGCATAAACACAGTGTTCAGGAAGTCATGCCAGACTTATAAATACAGATCAGTGAATACAAGACAGAGCGCTTTCTGGGCTGGCATTTCCACACACTCAATCTGAGTGAGTCTGGCTTTTCTATGGCCATATACTAGAGAAACTACAAAAGTATCAGGAAAATGTTAGAGAACCATGGCAGAAAGAAAAAAGAATGGAGTAAAAAGAAAAGAGACCCCCTTTGAAATAACATAAAATAACAGATTGGAGTTTTCGTGCTTCAGGGGACACACTAGTACCAAGCTTCTTCATATTTGCATTTCCAGCAACTCTGGGAAGAGTTACAGTGCTCTAGAAATAGTCTACCCTAGGAAAACGCACAAACCACTTGGTCCAAATTAAGTATCCTTGTTTTCATAGCAAATTTCAATTCAAAAGCGAGTGTATAGCTTGGTCACATTAGAAACAAATAGAAAAATTTCTTGCCAACATTTCAAAGTCTGCACAAAACTTTTAGACTAATCTATGGTAAAAGGTATACACGGCTGTAATTATAAGTGAAAATAGAAATAAAAATTATCCATTCTCTTAAAATAAAAACAAATACTTTAAAGAATACAGAGCAAAACTGGGATAAAATTTACTTTTATCCTTTGACAAAAGTGAATATTAGCTATATAATTTTTATAACAAACATTCAGCAGTCAGTATAAAATGTTATGTTTGAGAATAAAATGAGTAACATGGGGAAAACAGGATGGTGCTTGGGAAATAATATATACTCAATAAAGTTTTACTCTGAAAAACACTGAAGCAAGAACTATAATACCCTTGAGTAATACCAAATTGTTTACTCAACACTGTGAGACAAATCAGTTTATCAAAGCTTAAAAACCAACTCCAAAATATTGGCTACTGTTTCAACAAAGCATGTGTAAGGAACAGTCTATGTTAGACAGTGCTTACCACATAAGAGTGTATTTTTCTTTTTTTCTCACCCCCGCACCCTGTAGTATTTTCGTTCTTACTTAATGATCAAATTGACAGCCAAGTAATTTTTACCTTAGCAAAAATGCCCTTTATCTGATCAAAAGTAAAGCAACACAGCAATCACAGAAGGATGACCTGTGACCCTTGTTGCGCTTTATAAGGCATCCACAGATGCACTCATGGGGCAAACAGCAGGGAGAGCATAAGACATTAGCACTGCAGCAGCAGCAAAGATTGTGCATCCTCTTAATTCCCTTCCCTAATTAACCCTGGGGCCTTGTGCATGCTGGGCAAGCACTCTGTTACTGAGTGACATGCTCACTCCACATCTGGGCCAAATTTCTACAAAGGCTCCCAGAAAATATTTTTAAAGGAATGATTTAAGGAAAAAAGGTAAAATATGGGCTGGTGAAAATGCTTGGCTGGTAAAGTGCTTGCCATGCAAACCTGACCCTGAGTTCATTCCCTGGACTTATCTAATGATGGATAGAGAGAACTGACTCCATAAGGTTGTCCCCTGACCTGTATACACATGTCATGGCACTGTGCCCCTATATACACATCTTACACACACAATAATAACATATAAATACTTAAGAAAGCAAAGTGTAACTGTTGTACTGAATTATTTTAAGTCTACATACAGCTGATTTCTAATTTTAAAAACAATGGGACATATTTTCCTTTGAAAGTTATTTGAGAAGCTTCTAAACTCATTTCATTGGAACAGGTAGAAGTTCTAAATTGAAAACAAAATACCTATTTTCCACAGAATAATTTCTTTGGAGTTTTTGGAAGCTAGACAGTCAATGCTTGCCCACAAAGCACCTACAACATAGCAAATACAGAGAGTTTGCTATGCAGGCTTAATGGTTAACAAACAATCATAAACCCCAAGATGAGGAGGAAAAGGGTTGGGAGCAGAGACTGCCAACGGTACTGGGGGGGGGGGGGTAGGTATTTCAGAGTCTTACAGCAATTTAGGGTGAGGAAAACATGAGATTTTTCTGACAAGGAACCACTGATGTACCTTCTGTGAAACCACTTTCACAGAGCATGAGGAGATCAGCTGAGGCACCTTCTGTTGTCACTTGAACCACAGAACGTCCAGGTTAGAAAAAGATTTGGTGACAAGATAAAAAAATAAAAAATAAAAACACAGACGTGCTAGCAATATTACTCACAACAGGCTCTGTTCCCCCTCCCCAAGTCAGCACTTGGATCATGTAAAAGTAAACTGGCCCCAGAGAGGGGGAGAGTTTCTAACAGTTTGCCATTTAAATCTCCGGTGACCATGTCTCACAGCAGGCTCCACACATTCCAGCATGTAACTGCATTTTAATTTCCTAAGACCACAGGACAGAGTGTGATTTCAAGTAGTACCTGGACTGTGATATTCAATATTGATAAAACTATGCAATATTCTCTTCAAAGCTCCAAAGATTCAGCACATGGAAAATGATCTTCATTTGCTTGAAGGCACTACTCTCAAAGAAGTTTACTCTGTCTCTGTACATGAATTCTAAACAATGAAGAGTAACAGCTAGAGCGACTACCCTAAGGAAAGGAACCCAGAAAAGCACAGGAAATAAGCAGAGTAACCTGTCTCCCTGTTAACAGTAGGCAACGCAAGACTAAATGCCTTTTGCTGTGAAATGCTCACTAACACTTGTTTGGGAAAGGAATTTTAAATCTATAAACTGAACAGGTATTTGCTTGCATGCCCATTCCATGAACAGAAATGACTCAGCTTCACAAAACATGGAGTACTTATGGTCTCTTGTATCTCCAAGTAACCTTAAAACTAGATTTAAGAGCAGAAGTAAAGCCGTGTCGTAAATTTGGGAGTCAAGAACAAATCATAGTACTATGCAGATGGAAGGAAACTGTTATTAGTGAATACGAAATATTGCAATAAGGTGGGCAGCGGCACTCATTATAAGGCGGCTGGCCCCAAACTGACCCGGAGGAAGGCAAAGAGAAAATTGTTTTCTGAGGTGTGAGATAGTGGTAATTACTGGCTCTCCTCTTAAACATGATTGCCTTTAGCTATGGACCTGACTCCAAAGCTGACTGACAAGTTCAATGTTTGTTCAATGTTTGCAACATTATTTGTTTGATCAGTAAAGTATAACTTAAAATAAAACAATCCCACTCTGATGAACAACTTAAGGTATAGGGTTTAAGTCCCATCTAGAAAACCTGGGGCAATGCTTGGTAAGTGAATTCTAAACAATGAATAGTAACAGCTGGAGTATCTGCCCTGAGTCAGCTGGGCCCCTGTGGCCTCTTTTTGGATTCTAATATACCAAGGGTAAGATGTTTCACTCTTGATTTCATATCAGCTTTTCAAGGCAACAAAAATGTATGTATTACATGAACCAATTTCATACCCCCCACTAAGAAAACAACAACAAAAAGAACCAAAACACTGGTGAGAAAAAAAAAATAGTCATCTCAGAATTTAAGAAATCAGCATACCTCCTTCCTCCCCTCATTCCCATTTGATTTCCATTTACCCTCAGCCAGGCTTTGTATTTCCTTCTGTAATCTAAGGAAGTATGCATCAGGTGTCACCTCAGAGGTGGACTGAAGAATCAAAGCAAGAAAGCACAATTTGCAACACCAAAGGATTTCAGTCCGGGGAAGTCACACACAGCAGCATGCTATAAGTCATCCAGACAGCATCAAACTTCCGCCAAATTAACTAAGCCACAGTCCAATACCCTGCACACCAAAGCGGTATTGTACACTTTGAGTGGCACTCAGACTCCCAGGGAAGTATGCTAGTGTGCCCCGCAATGCTTTCTTTTTCTTTCTTTCTTTTCTCTCTTTCCTTTCTTCTTTCTCTCTCTCTCTTCAGAGAGAAAAGGGGCAGGACAAACAGGAATAAATGCCGACAAAAGCGTCTGGCATAAATCTGATGCAATATCCTAATTTGGGTAATAAAACCAAAATAATAAAAGGCAATTCTTAATATCTGGGTCTGATTTTCCTCTTATACTTCAGTAAGGTAAGTCTTTCTATATTTTTATTAACATATATACAATAAGTTCATTATGGCATTTTATACTTACATATACTATACATATAATGTACTTTGATCAAGCAGGTGGTCCTATTATTATCTTTTATTTCAGACAGGGTTTCATGTTGCTCAGGCTTACTCCAAACTTAGGATATAGCTGAGGCTGAGCCTAAATGGCTGATTCTCCTGCCTTTAACTTACACCTGCTGGGATTCTGGGCACATGTCACCACAATTGGCACCCATTTTTATCTCAATAGTGAGAAATCTGAAAGCAGGGAAGCTTTACAATCGTGTAAAAGCTCATAGTATACCTGCTGGTCATTAGGCCAGGGTCCAACTCTAAGGCTATTCTTTTAGTGTCTACACATACTAATACAGCCTAAATTCCAAAGGAGAAGGAAGGCAAACAAAATGTGGCTGAGGCTATTCTCGGTAGGGAGTGGAAGACGGCACTGAAAAAAGGAGACACACCAGAGATGCAGGAACAAAGTACCACCACAAAAACTTCACAAATAATTATCTCCACAACGCTGTTTTACAACCTCACTTATTTTAACTGCTCAATATTTCTGTCTTTACGTTGGTCAAATAAGCAAACTAGTGACAATTTTTAAACTGTGATAATTGTTAAGGAATAAAAGATAAAAATGTCAGCCTTCAAAGCATGTGAAAACTAATCCAACAGGAGAAACATGGGCAGTAAGCAGCAAAAGTACACATGATTTCTTAACTGTCTTATCTTCCCTCTCATACTCATACGTCTGTACATGTGTACATACTCATACTATTCAATATATTGAAAACGACCAAGAGCCACAAAAGGGTAATGATGTCCAGCTGGGCTGTGCTCCAGACATACCTGCTTGTGGGTCCTGGTTGAAACGACAGTACTTGGAGTTGTCAAGAGAAGGCAGGCACTGCTCAATGGGTACCCACACATACGTCTCAGGACACAGCAAATCAGAAGGTCTATACTGACCCTAAGGAAAAGTGAAGAAAAAAGGCACAGGCATTAGAAACACTAACTCCTGAGTTCTGAGGTTCCACGGGGCAAGGAAAGGTATGACGACAGGCTTAATGTCAATCAAAATGATTAGCTATAAATACTAGGCCTTAAACAATATTTACAATAAGCAATAAATACTAGTGCTCACTTTATTTCATATCTTAATGTTGCCAAGTGTTAGGTGAAAAGATTAATATTACTAACAGGAAGAGTCTAACTATATTAAAAACTTATTTTCAAGTAGTTACAACAATTTCCCCAAACAAAGGTAGGCAGTACAGTTTTCCTGTACAGTACAGTTTCCCTGTAGTATAACATCACTGCTGGTCTGAGGTTTGCTCTGTAAGCAATTATTACAAATATAAATGGGGAGAAGTCACCACTAACCATAGCTTGGTAAATATATTTCTTGACTAACGTAGTTCCAGGAGAGGACTAAAGGAAACAAAAAGGGGCAGGTGTCCAGGGGAACATCACACAATGTGCCTTATCATCATCACCACATATTTAATAATCCACTGTCACAAAAAAGGTAATGTTTCCAAGTACACTGACCTAGAATATACTTGCTATAGCAGAGTGAGATTATTTAAGTATTACTAACGACTCCTCAAATTTCTCTGAACATATAATCGGTTTTGCATATCAAATGCTATAAACAGAAGTTTTAAACACTTTTATCTCATTTTGGAAAAGTTAGCAGTACAGATGGAATACTCCTGAATTTTCTAAAATATCAAAACTTGGGGGTGAAACCAAAGAAAATATTATTTTTAGTAAATGGCTTGTGGGAAACACAAGCTCATTATTTTACAGGTTTAAAAGGATTGTGATCCAATGATTGTTTAGCAGCAATTTTACCAACAGGTATTATGAACAGATAATACTAAACTTACTTAAAAACCATGCGTGTAACACCAATGAATATACAGGTCATGAATAACTTAAAACGTATATCTCATTTTAAAAGGTAACACATAGCATACAAAAACCTATACTAAACAAATAACCTATAATATGGATACATGACTGATAGGTCTAAAATGTTATATATAGTACTTAATTGTTAATTATGTGATCAGGATATTGTTCTACACAATTCCCTTTTTTCTTTACTTCCCCCAGAAAGTGAATTCTGAACTTCCTCTTCTAAAATTCATACAATCCGGTTATCCTTCAACATCAAATTATATTTCATCACAAATTTCGTAATCCAATAACATAAAAATGTTTCATTTCCCCCTTTTTTAAAAGATGTATTTATTTATTATGTATACAATGTTGTCTGCATATATACACCTGCACGCCAGAAAGAGGTTGTGAGCCACCATGTGGCTGCTGGGAATTGAACTCATGCTCTCTGGAAGAACAGCCAGTGCTCTTAACTTCTGAGCCATCTCTCCAGCTAAAATGTTTTATTTTCATACTCATCAAGTATCTGCCAGTGATGAAAATAGGCACATGAAAATATTCTATAAAATTTACAGTACACTGACTCTAGTTTTGCTATAGATGATTCTTTTATGTTAACCCTGCTAGGGAAATATTTACTGCTCTTCAGAAGATAGGCAGCACCATCAAATGTGTGTCTTGTATAATCTATGACAGGACACTCTTTTGCAGTTTTATCAGCTGTACAAAGAAAAATCCATTGTTCAGTTGCTGTCCTTTGAGTACATGTATCTGGATGGCATTCACTCTGAAGTTTAATAGCAAGTCCATTTAGTTCAAGGAGGAATTGCCTTAAGTGTTCATACACTTAGATGTCCGTACACCTTCATTTTGGCCTTCAGGTAGTTCAAGAATTTTGTCAGTACTGGAGCAGTCTGCCCTTATGTTCTGTTGGATATACTGCTGAATAGCAAGTGTACTGTCCATTTCATCAGATGATTCATCAGGCCAATTATAGAATCCTGCACCTCTGTGCCTGGCCTGTCCCACCTCAGCACTGCCAACCCCTCTGGCGTGGCCATAGTGCCAGAGTCTGGACGGCTAGCATTGGTATCCGGATGTCTAGTGATCACTTTTGTATTTAGAGAATGCATATGTAATTCAAGGCTTTCTAAAAGTGACACAGCACCATTTGGCAGGCTATACTTATTTGGAAGTTGAGTCTTTATAATTTTGGGAAAACTCAAGTTGTCTTTGAAAAGCTAGTGAAGAACAGAGCAAAGCTTCTTTTCATATATTAGAAAACCATACAAAGCCATATAAAGGAAGCTTATTTTCAAAAGTACAATTCTACTGCCCTCAATCTCTAATTTTTTAGTTCATAGACTGAAGACTGATAATATTCAGTCTCGATAATGTTTTTAACAGTACAGTCCTAGTAAGACACATCCACTAACCACCTAAACTAGTGGATGTACAACAAAAGCTTTTAAAAATATAAATTTTAACAAAGCTGTTATAACTTCAAAAATTCTACTTTACAAAATAAAGTAGTTACATACTTAAGGTATACCACACTATACAGTATTTGCTGGAGTAAATAAGTCATTCATTTATAGATAATAATATGTAGCTAAGAAATGAGACAAACTAAAAAAGTATTAGTGAATTTTTAGAAAAACCAAAGCTTTTTTTTTGAACTCATTCAAAATTCCCAATGTCTTCTCTCTGATTTAAATCCAAATTTGATATACAGGTTAAATTTTTAAAAACTTTTTATTGGTTCTTTGTGAATTTCACATCATGTACCCCAACCCGCTCACCTCCCCTTCCCATCTTACCCACCCTCCATCCTTGCAACCTCTCCAACAGAAAATAAATTTTGTTGAGGAGGCTGTAGTGTCCCCACAGTATGTCCCACAGTCTACTTCTATACACATCTCTCTGACTCCAAAATATTCATTGCAATGACTCACTGGTCTGGTCCAAGGCTTCTGCCACTCCACCAACCCTGGACTCTCCTCACACATTCTGTCATTCCCCTGTGTCATGGAGGTCCTGCAGCTTTGGATCTGCAGGACCGGCCCCCTCACGCACTACAGTTCCCCGATGAGGTAGATGTTGGGGTGGGCAGACTTAAAGCCCTGGATCTGAGTCTCAGAGGTATCTGAGTTTGTTGGCCTACTGGCCCTCCTGCTCTCACACCCTTGGGGCCAGCTCACCAGCAACCCCTGCAATCAGGGCCAGCTCTACTGTGCTACTCAGGTGAGGTGCAGGGACAGCTCTCCTGTCTACCACAGATGGCGAGGGCCAAGGGGAAAGGAGGGTATATTTTCCTCATCCACAGAAGACAAGTAGTAGGACCAGCTCTCCCACTCATATCCCTGGAGTTGGCTCAGCCAACTCCTGCAATGTGCAGGGCCACTCTCCCACATACTGCATCTGGATTGGGGCAGGGGCAGCTCTCTCGCTTTCATGCCTCCAGGGCAGCTCTCCCAGGGTGCCCAGATGAGGGGTGGGATCCGTTTTGCACAGCCCTCAGATACTAACATGTCCCCCGGCAAGGGACATCCACCTTGACTTTGTGGTAACAGAGCCCTGCTGCTGCAAGGCCATGAACCCAGATGTGGCCCTCAGTGGCAGCACAGACCAGGACCCCACCATGGTCCCAGGTGGCTTCACTGGTTACTCACATCAGACTCTTCCTCATTAACCTCCTTCTGTTTCTCCTTTTCTTCCATTTCTCCAGCACTTACTTGCTCCTCATAGAGGTGCCTGGGTTGTCTGTCTCAGGCTCACTCTTCCCCATCCTAGGATGCCCAGGGAGGCCTGACTGGTGCAGGACAGGTGGTTGTCTCAGGCTAGCTCCCTTACTGGGACGCCTGGTACTGACTGGAGGACAAACCATGCATTTAGATAACTGGTAATCAACCCACTAAAGTGTCAGAGTTGCATGAAGCTGAGGCACATAGGAATTACGTATGTGTGACAGGTACAGGTCCTCGAAGTGCCAGGGTTTCACAATGTTCTCTGAAGGAGGAATTCTGTATTTACTTTTGATTTTTTAAACACTTACCTCACTAAAAGATCAGTAATACATTTTTACTTCTTTGTATCATTTGAAATTAAATCTGTCAATTACATTAAATATTATTCTCCAAAGTATAGGCTTCTTTCAATACTTCAAATAGTCTCTCACCTTATCAAAGAATGAAGAATGAACGCATAAACTACTGTGAAATACTGTGCTTTCTAAACTAAGCTGGTTGAGAGGCATGTGACTGAAGTGCCTAAAACTCAATTCAGAGTCCCCATACCACAAAGGAGAAGCACAGGGACATGAAAGCCACCCTGCCTGTTCCCTATTGTAAGAAAATGAGAGACGTTTGCATTAAGAATGTAATTACTTAAGGATTTGGACAGACTTTCCTGTGGTCAGAAGAAAAATATTTAATCAACCTCTAAGTATACTCATTCAAATTGAACAATGAAGTAAAAGCAGATTAATTCTTTCCTAGGGTGCTGACTTTTAGATAAATGAGAAATGTGAGTTAGCACAGATTTCTGAAGTACTCAGAATTTTGAAAATGTAACACTTTTGACAGCTTATTCCACAGCTTTCTGAGTTCTTTCAAAGTGACGAACAGTTCAGAAGAGGAGTGACTAGAGTCTGAGTTGCTAAAGAAGAGTTACTATTTTGTTCCAAATATAGCTGTAATACTCAGTAACTGTCTATTTAATCAAAACTGCTGAGACTATTTGTAAAACTCAAACCTACCAAAAAGAAAAAAAAAAAAAGAGACACAGAGAGATCATAACATGGCCACATAACATTTCAATCAACTTTACTAGGTTGTCATAGAAGAAGGGTTTAGAAAATCTCCCCAAAGGGGGACGGCTAGCTTTGGTGTTGATCAATGCAAAGAACAAAGGCATCTTCTCATTTGTGTGCTTTACACCATTATTTGACGAGCGTTACCGTGTCTATCGAATTTTCCACCCTATCAAAGAGCCACTGGATAAATTATGTAAAAATACCTAGTGTAGCAGAATAGTCAGAATTTAGTCTAAAAACTGCATTCA